TTGAGGGAAGCAGGCAGGGTTTTCAACATTATCTTATCAAGATCAAAGGTCTGTGTGTTGGAGGTGTTAATGCTATGGCTCTCTACAAGTATGATTCAAATTACAGTGACGCAATGAAGCCTCAAGAAATGCTTGCTCTGAAGCGACCAAAGATGATCAAGTTATCACTAGCAGACAACACTCTCAAGTTGCAACTAACAAGTGAGATTAAACATTTTTTGGAAGAAGACAATGGCAGAAGTACCAGTGAGCTTGAGAGTGCTATCCTAGAAGCAAAAGTATTTTTGGGCCAAGTGCTGAAGTGGTATAAGAACAAGCTGAAAGAGAACTTGGAGGAGTAGAGATTTTATGCTGGTGCTATTCTTGCTTTTGTATATATTATATCTGATCTATTAGTTTCTTATAACGTGTATTATTTGTATGTATCCTTCTTTCTCCATTATTGTTTGATGGTTCTTTATATCGATAGTCAATATTGAAATCTCTTGTAATTATCATTGGTATTTTATTAACTATTTTTTGCATATAGTTATGTAGTCGTTGTATGAATATTTGTATATTTGTTCTGGGTTTTCTATATATATTTTGTATTTGTATTTGCTTTTGATTTTTCTTTAGTGATATATGCCATTGTTTCTGTTTAAAATGTTCTATTTTTTCGAATTGACAGTCATTTGTATGCAATATTGCTATATGTGGGGTTGTTCATGATATATTAGTTATATTCATTATGTCCTCATATGCTTGTTCTTACTTCTTGCATACATATTATATTTGATATTAATAATTGTGAATCACTCTTTATATCTTCTTGATGTACTATAGGTGATATTGTATTTAGAACTTGTATAATTGCTTGGTTAGCTATTTTCTCTTCTTGTAAATCTATTAAATCAATTTGCCATTATTGTCATTCTTATTATTTCTTTAGCTGCATCTTTATTAATTTTATATTTAATTGGTCTATATTGATGTATACCTTTATAGTTTTTGTGCTCTTTTGATAATGTTGTTATGCTTATTCTCCATATTTTGTTTTATATATGCTATATTCTAATTGTTTTACTGTTAATTCTTGAGTTTTATATTGTTTTACTATTGATTCTTGAGTTTAAATATCCTTCTTCCTACACACATGGTTGTATTGGAAATTAGTTTTTGCTTATAACATGATTTGGTTTTTAGTAATATTTATTATTCTTGTTGTGAGTGCTTGGAATATGGAAATGAAACACAAAAATGTGCATATCCCAAAAACCCTATGTTATATACATGAGTGAGTGGTTCAAATTGAAACTAATATAAAAACTATCAAAATCCCACTACATTAATATTAGTATACCGCATTATAATTGTATATTTGAACTTTACATCATCCCCTCCTCTCGGATAGATAGAAGATAATTAAGGTTCTCTAATAGATGGGCCAGGATCTAATAAAACATTAGGAAGGTAATGGTGGATCTGTAGATTGTGCCAGTTATTCCTAATCCCTTTGCACAAAGTGTTTTAGCCATTATATATACATGATTTCTAGAGGATTTACTTGTTGGACATCATGTTGAACTTTATAAACTTGTGATCCAATTTATTACAATACTTGATATAATCCTTTCTATTAAACAAAGAGCCCCTTAAATAAACCATGTACTGTAAGATTGAGAAAATAAACTAACACCAAGTCATCCATTTTATACTTTGTAAGTGGACAATAATAGGACTTGTAATATCATTGTTGCCCATGGGCTAGATGTTTAGTCCAGATATCTAAGTTGTCAATACCTTTTTAAAATCCATAAACACTTGCTCAAAGTCCACAGATTAGATGAAAGATGATATTGACGACTTCAACAATACCCATAACGATTCAGTGTGATCAGAAAGATGATCAACAAAATGACTGAGATACTACATCTTGCCCAAGTAGTGCTATACACCAATGTGATTGCATGGAATATGGAAATAAAATATAAAAATATGCATATCAATTAACCCAAAAATCTTTAGTTTATATAAAGGAGCAAGTGGTCCAGATTGAAACTAATTTGATAGCTATCAAAATCTTATTACGTTAATATTCATTGTAGTTGTACACTTGGATATTTAATTAGTTCAAAAACTTTAAGTTATATATAGAGTGAAATCTATCAAAATTCCACTATAATAATAATAATATATAAGTGTATATATAGCCTAAGAACTTTTACATGGTTTAGATCAAAATCAACCTAGCAAAATCCTATTATTATAATAAGTATAATACATTTCTTTTTATAATATATTAAATAACTATTTGAATTAGTTTATTCTTATGTAAATTCAGTCGCTTAAATAAATAGCTAATATATGTAAATAGTCTCATGAATCTTTTTCAATTCAGTCCACTAAAAATTTGATTCTGAATGCTTTACACTGTTGATGTTAAAACTTGAGTCTAATGTGATTAAAATACTCATATTTAAACTGTTGAAGCCTTGCCAAAATTGTACTTAAATATATTTCCTTCTCAACCCACAGGAAAGATCAAAAGAGAACATATAATACATACATATACTACTTTTATAGCGGGATCACAATGTGGGGCTATTTGGATTTGGAACTTCTTACTTGCAACTCTTCTTGGACTGGCATAGGAATGTCTTGCCAACATCTCTATATTTGCATCCTAGACCTATGAACCATCTCGAGCGTTTAGTGCAGCTAGCGTAACTGGATCATTCATGTTATCTTTGTCAGCTTCTTCACATCTTCCAGAGCCTTGGGTTATGCCTCTGGGACGCTGCTCTAGAAGAATGCAAATGCTTGATCCGTCTGCACTAAACAATACTCACTCACTTAGCACCATGAACAGATGTGAAGTGAACTGGACGTGATAAGCTGGTGGGGATGGTCATGGTGGTGATCAAATGGAAGTGGGAATTGTTTTCCATTTTTCTTGGAATTTTGAAAGTGCAAAAAAGGAAATCAGTGTCACTGTTGTTTAGTTTTCTTGATAATTAGCAACAGCATTTCTATATCCATCATGTTTTGTCACCAAGGAAAATACGCGAGATCAGCTGACGCAGCTAAATTGGCATCTTTCTTCCCCGGATTCCTTGTTTTAAAAGCCCGTCTCGTCTTTCCTTCGGTTGTAATGCTAACTTATCGAATCCGATCGGTGGCAAGCCACGCAGAGAGACAAAACACAAACCACTGTTGAGAAATGTAGGAAAAGAGAAAAAAACATCTTTCTTGGAAGCACGCGATATGGAATGCCCCCTGTCTTTACTAACAGCTGCATCCACGGAAGCAGAGGCCAAAGGCAAGGGTGGAGTTAACGGGGAACAAAACACTATTGAAAATCGAAAAAAAATGTAGTGTTTACAAGGAGCTAAAAGACGAGATTTACCAGATACCCACGCGTAATTCACCACATTAGCGACACATTCCTCTTCTCTGCTTCTGTCTCGCATGCTGCGTCCTCTCCCTTGCTCCACAGATCCTTTCATCCTTTCCTGCCAATATATTACGACGCAGGCATTTAGTCTTCCAAATCCCGTACTACTCTTACCTTGAGAGCGTAAGAGGGTCGCCAAGCTCACAGGAACAAACCAGGAAGACGATTGGAACAGAATGAGGACGCAGCAGCAGCAGCAGCAGCAGCTTTTCGGGGATGATCATAACAGCGAGAGCTGCGTCTACGATCCACCAGCAGCGGAAGGATCCTTGAGGTTCCAGATCTCATTGCGGTCCAAAGAAGGCTTGTTACCGCCACCACCTGGAGCAATGAATCGCGGGGTTTTAAAACAGGAGCCAGAAGTAGAGCAGGAACGAGAGCAGTACCTTGTGGCCCCAAGCAGCAAACAGCAGCAGCAGCAGCAGCAGCAAACAAGTCGATCCTTGCCATCGCCACCGGGGATCAAGAACAGGAAGAAGTTCGTTGGAGTGAGACAACGCCCGTCTGGTCGCTGGGTGGCGGAGATCAAGGACACCACCCAGAAGATCCGGCTGTGGCTGGGGACCTTCAATACTGCCGAGGATGCTGCTCGAGCTTACGACGAGGCTGCCTGTTTGCTCCGGGGCACAAACACCAGGACCAACTTCATCAACACAGCTCCCGCTTCAGACGCATCGGCTCTTCCTTCCAAGGCCGCGAAGATGCTTCTCTTCCACCGTGGTTCCACACCCAGTAGCTCTACCACTGGCTCGTCTGCTGCTGAGAAGCTGCTCGATTTCTCCAGGCCGAAGAGAACTGCTGCTGTCGGTGATAAGAGTGTCAGCTGCTTTCTTCCTCCACCGAAAAAAATCTGTAGCTCGTTGACACCCAGCAGCAGGCAGCAGCAGCAGCAGCAGGACGGCATTTTGGGATCGGAATTCATTGCCGAAGGCAGTGGCTTCTACAATCCTAGCTCCGGCCTGTACTCCCTGTCCTCCTCCAGTACCTCACACTATGTAAACTCGGAGGACCTGTCGAGCGTTGAATCGGCATTTGACATCTACTCCGGATTTCCTCAGTCATTCGACGAGATTCCGCTGCTGGAAAGCTGCTGCAGCAACAGTGTTGACGCTTGCATGAACAGTAACGTTGCAGCAAACGTCGGCCTTGGTGTTGAGCAGCAACAGGTCCAGAAAGGTTTCTATGAGAGGCAAAATTCGGTTTCTCTGAATCAGGGGAACAGCGGCCAAGATTGTTGTCTCATGCTGGGAGCAACTTCTTCTTCCATGATGTCTTCTCCGAGCTTGTCGTTGCCTCCCTCGTTTTATTCTCAGAGATCGTCCGCATGGAAGCAGCAAAAACAGGAACCAGAACCCACCGGAAACGAGAATCAGGAGTGTTTATGGGATCTCACCCCTCTCTGCACTGTGAACTAGGTACCACTGTGAAGAAGTTGATCGTCAGTGGTGTGAGCGAGGAGATCCCATAAACACTTCCCGATCAACAGGGTAGTTTTCGGAACCGCTTACACAGCAACTACAAGAGTGTTACAGTTAGCTGTGTATGAAGTTTTGAAACAAGAAACTACACCTGGAAATTTTACTTTTTATGCTCGCTTGAGTCACTTCGGCTCTGACATTGAAATTCTGCTACTGCGGCAGTGCAATCTATTGCATTGTCTGGTGCAATAACTTGTTCGTTTTGTCGCCTCCATAGCTATCAAGTACCTGGGACGCTGCTGTCCATTTGACTCTGCTGAGAATCTGAATAAATCAAGCCCAGAAAAACTGAAGTTGTACCTTCGTGTTTACTATAGCTGGCAGTCCAGGATCACGTGAAAACTTCACTTCTGTAGTCCTTGATCCGGTCACAGCGTTCCTTTTTAAAAGCATACAAAGTTCCGTGAAGGTACGCCCGCGCCTGAAACAAAAGAACTGTGCGCCTGCGTCAAAGCCCACACTACAAGAATCCAACCAACAATTCTCTGCGCTAACCTTTCTTGCTTCACTTGTCTCTTTTGCTACTTCAAAATGCTAAGGAAAATGAGAAAGAAAACCAGCTAGCGACTTCACTCGTCCCTTTCTACATAGTGAGCGATTGCAACTTCAGTAGGTACCTCTCACCTGCCCGCTGTGGCTGCATTTTCTTCCAACAAGCCATGCTCTGTGCTCAAGGGAAAGGAAAACTTGCATTTTTTGTTATTCTTTGCGCCATCTCCCAAGGCATCTGTTCAGCCAAACACGTCAGTGGAAAACAACGACAGAAAAAGCTCATTTCTCTCACCTGCATTTGCCATCTTTCGCAATAACCAGCGCAGCTGCATCGTGTCCTCTGTGTGGCCATAGTCACAAACCTTTAACCCCGCTGCAAGACCATTGTTGCAAAGTCAATACTTTCAAGTCCAACAGGACAAAAAATGTAAGAAAATACCAACCGCGGCGACAAAAATCAACGTCAGCTGCGTGGGGTACGAAGTATTCCTCCCAGTTACGTCGCGATAAGATGGCTGCATCAAAGCCAAGCTGTGCCACTGACGGACGAATATGGAAACGCTTAAGTCGTTGTTGATAGCTTTTCCCTTGGAACAAGCGAAGAGTACCCAGTATTGGGGCAGCAATCAATGTGTGATCTTCTCGATTCATTTGCTTCCATCAATCTTCTTCGTGGGATCAAAGAATGGACAGCAACACCGCCGTGGAGATGTCTCTGATCGTTAACAGCAACAACAGCAGTAAGTAGAAAGAAAATCCTGTGCTCGATCCAAATCTTACCTTTGTTCTTTGATTCACATCCACAGCAGCTGCCGCTACCGGACCTATCGCTGCCACTCCACCCGCGAGCAAATTCTTTCTCCACGACTCGAAATTCCGGCGATCCCTCGTCTCCAAGCCGCTCGAGACCCTGCGATCCAAATCCCGGCTCCACTGGCTGCTCCTCTCGCTCAGCATTCTTTCGATGCTGACCGGGATGATCGCCGGGCAGCTGCTCACGCGATTCTACTTCGCGGCCGGGGGATCGCGCAAGTGGCTCTCGACATGGCTCCAAACGTCGGGATGGCCGCTGCTAGCGGTGGCCACTGGATCGATCTACTGGAAGCGCGGCATCAAGCTCACGCCGCTCACACCGGCGCTCGCCGCGACCTACATCGCACTGGGATTTCTTGGAGCCCTAGATAATTTCATGTATGCCTATGGCCTGGCATACCTCCCGGCCTCCACGAATGGCCTCCTCTCCTCCAGCCAGCTCGCATTCAATGCGATCTTCGCGCTGATCATCACGCGCCAGAGGATCAATCCCTTCGGGTGGAACGCGATCGTGCTGGTGAGCAGCGCCGCCGTGATCTTGGCGCTTCACTCCGACGATGAGAAGCTCCCGGGCGTGACGAGAAAGGAGGTCGTCCTGGGCTACGTGATGACGACCGGCGCCGCGGCGCTGTTTGGATTGCTCTATCCTCTCATCGAGCTTGCAATCCGGAAATTTCTCACCAGATCGAGCGACGGCGGCGGCGGCGCCGTCGTGTTGGAGATGCAAACCCTGCTCTCGCTCGTCTCCACCGCGGTGGCCAGCGTCGCCATGGCGATCAACGGCGATTTCCTGGCGATCCCGGGCGAGTCGCGGCGATTCAAGCCCGGCGCTGCGAGCTACTACCTCACGCTCGTCTCCACCGCCGTGTCGTGGCAATTCGCATTCTTGGGAACGCTGGGAATAATCTTCCTTTCCTCGTCGCTGCTCGCGGGTGTGATTTTGGCGCTCGCGATTCCCATCGGCTCCATCTTCGCGGTCATCTTCTTTGGCGATAGCTTCGGCGGCGTCAAGATCATGTCCATGCTGCTCTCGCTCTGGGGATTTGTGTCTTACACCTTTGGCGGATACGTGGACATGAAGAAGGCTTCCAAGTTGGAGCCCTAAAATAAAGAATATTTTACTTTTCGTCTTCTACCAAAGGAAAAAAATTAAGGATAAATATTCCTAAAGAACACATCTTAAATCCATACCAACACAAGCTTTTTGTCAAATCTAACACTGTGTTTGCCATACTGTCATTCTTGATTTAGGTTAGAAGCTTTTTGTTATGTTCACATAACAACACTACTCTTGCAGCTGCGTCACATGAGTTGGTTAGGATTTTATACTTCATGTAAGTGTTATAAACAAGATCTAAAACAATATATAGGTGTGATGTACTGCTCCAACTTCTGTAGGATGTGAGCGCCAAAATCACTCTTGCAAGCAATGACAAGGAGAGGAAAATTATACACCAGCCTTCTCAAGAAAGCGAATTGCCACGACATGGTGGTCATGAGGTAGTAGTTTGCAGCACAATCCCTTCATCCATCCCATGATGAGTTTTATATATATATATATATATAAACCCAAAAAAGCTACCTATTTATTTAGCTCTCCAGAGGTTCTCTACATTAGTTAATTAATTAGTTGCTGACTTAGTGTTCCACTTCATTTCTCTAGAGATAGTCAAATTGAACCCTGAGCTCTGACCTTCACCTTGGTCTGCCACCAAACGGCAAAGACAATCATCTAGGCAACTTATTTAAATCCTTTGGTTTCATGGGGGTGTAACGAGACCATGTAAACAGAATATAAATGAATGAATGAATGAAATATGTTAGGCTTGGTGGTGGTCCTATATTTATTCATCCTCACTGGCAACTATTGCTTTATCATACAACTTTTGCTTTTCTTTTCTTGCTCCTTTCTTTTATTCCTTCATTATACTTGCTGCACACTCCATATTTGTATATTAATTTCTAAGTATACCAGCATATGATCAGTCTTTTCTATTTCTATCTATATGTTCTTCCTATCTTTTTGTCAAATCTAAGATTTTACCTATCACTGTGTTTACATTTGCTCTTCCATTTTAATCCTCATTTCTTATACCATGCCACACTGTCATTCTAGATTTAGGTTAGAAGCTTTAAGTGCTACTTCGTTGTGTTCACATAGCAACACACTCTTGCAGCTGCATCACATGAGTATTTATTTGTTTGGATTTTACACTTCATGTAAGTATTACAAACAAGATCTAAAACAATATATAACATGTTATGTAATTGTTTTGGTACTGCTAAAATCCTTGGTGTATTGCCATTTTCAACTTCTATAAAATGTGAATACAATGTTGCTTCTCTTATCCTCATAACAAGGAATTCAGAGATGAATTGAAATTTTCAGAATGGAATGGTGCCATTCTTTAAATTTAATATTTAACTTCCTTTTTTTTCTTTCTAATCTTATATTTTTTTCTTGGTCTTTACCCACTTACAACCATTTCTTTTTCTCATGATCTTTCTTATGATTGCATGGTTTCACAAAGGTTCTGGGCAGCTCAAGAACAAGAGAGTTTAGGATAAAAGTGTTGCCTTTGTTCTTAGTGATCTTATGCCTCTAGATGGGTGCTATAAACCCCCAAAACATGATAGGTGTTAACAGATCCCAATTATTTCTTGCACATTGATCACTAATGACTTTTAGTGACTTGTTTTGTCCCATTCCCCTGTTTTAATCGTTTAGAGTGTGAATGTCACTAAGAATTTTTTTCTTACTGTTGTTCAATTTCATTCTCTTGAGAGAATGATCCCATTTTCACATGCTTTTTGCCTCAACTTTTCTTCTTTTCCATGATTCTTTCTTTAGAAAATGGATGGATGAATAAGAGTCTAGGTGTAATGATAGATTGAAAATAAGGATGAATAATTAGGATTGTGGTATAAAGACTGTGATCAAGGGGCTGGAGGATTGACAAGGCATGCAGACTCTTCAAGGAGCACTCCAAAAGTCAAAGATCAAGAAGCTGTTTGCAGTTGCATACATCTACTGCAGATACTTAGATTACCCCCTTCTAATATCCTAGGAATTTATCATAAATACAATGCAAACCATTTTTAAGTCAATTAGAAAACTTCTGCTAAGCTAAATTATCATTCTAGTCATGAATTAAATGTAACTGGGCCTTTAAGAGATTTCCACTAGTCATTTATACATCTTTAAGACAAAATGCTTTGGAGAAAGAATGAGCAAGTAGAACTAGAAATGAAGAAACACTCGAGCACATAGAGAGACTAAAGAGAACTTGTGTGGATAGAATACAATGCCTTCAAACACCTACATCAGCATCAGGTGACGTCAACTTTCTCTCCCAATCCATGTATTTTTCATTGCAAATGTTGACAAGTATGTAACAGCATGCACAACATGATAAAATTACAAGTTTCTGTTAACTCTATGATTTGCTATTGTTGAACAACAACATTTTCAGCTAGATTATACTTAATTCGAAGCTTCCACATCCCCAAAATGTAATTTAAATAATAACAATAAATTAATACCAAGCGTGCAGCAAATTATTACTAGGCATAATGAAGGAATAAAAGGAGCAGCAATAAGCAGAAAGAAAAAGCAAAAGTGTATGAGAAAGCAACGGTTGCTAGTTAGGGTGAATAAGTATAAGACCACCACCAAGTCTAACATTTCTTGTGCCAAGCCGCAAAGACAGCACCTAACTAATTAATATGAACTCCTTAATGTAGAGAACCATGCCACGATCTGGAGAGCTAAGTAATGCCATCTACTCTCGATTTGCCCATTGTAGAGGTGGTGTTTTTGCGGATGTGCTGGCAGTCGAAGAAGATTAGGAAAACATGGTGGTGGGTACTACATGACCATATCTAATAATAGTGGCTGGCAACTTTTCCTTGAGCATTGATCTTCTGGGTTCAAGTTTTGCCTCCATCAATCTTCTTCTTGGGATCAAGAATGGACAACACCACCACCGTGGACATGTCTCTGATCAATAACGGCAAGAACAGCAGTAAGTAGAGAGAAATGAGAAAGAAGCAAAATGAAGGAACATGCTCGATCCAAATCTCTAATTACCTTTTGTTCATCCACAGCAGCTGCGGCTCCACCCGCGACCAAAATCTTTCACCACGACTCAAGATTTCGGCAATTCCTCGTCTCCAAGCCCCTCGAGGCCCTGCGATCCAAACCCCGGCTCCACTGGCTGCTCCTCTCGCTCAGCATCCTTTCGATGATGATCGGGACGGTCGTCGGGCAGCTGCTCACGCGATTCTACTTCGCGGCCGGGGGATCGCGCAAGTGGCTCTCGACGTGGCTCCAAACGTCGGGATGGCCGCTGCTGGCAGTGGCGACTGGATCGATCTACTGGAAGCGCGGCATCAAACTCACGCCGCTCACACCGGCGCTCGCTGCAACCTACACTGCACTAGGATTTCTTGTGGCTCTATATAGTTTCATGTATGCCTATGGCCTGTCCTACCTCCCGGCCTCCACCAGCGGCCTCCTCTCCTCCAGCCAGCTCGCATTCAACGCGATCTTCGCGCTGATCATCACGCGCCAGAAGATCAATCCCTTTGGATGGAACGCGATCGTGCTGGTGACCAGCGCCGCCGTGATCTTGGCGCTTCACTCCGATGACGAGAAGCTCCCCGGCGTGACGAGGAAGGAGGTCGTCCTGGGCTACGTGATGACAATCGTCGCCGCGGCGCTGTCTGGATTTTTCTTTCCCATCACCGAGCTTGTAATCCGGAAATTTCTCACCGGATCTTCCAGATCAAGCGACGCCGCCACCGTCTTGTTGGAGATGCAAACCCTGCTCTCGCTCATCTCCACCGCGGTGTCCAGCGTCGCCATGGCGATCAACCACGATTTCCTGGCGATTCCGGGCGAGTCGCGGCGCTTCAAGGCCGGCGCTGCCCGCTACTACATCACGCTCGTCTCCACCGCCGTGTCGTGGCAATTCGCATTCTTGGGAACGCTGGGGATGATCTTCCTCTCCTCGTCGCTGCTCGCGGGCGTGATTATGGCTCTCGAGATTCCTATCGGCTCCATTTTCGCGGTCATCTTCTTTGGCGATAGCTTTGGCGGCCTCAAGATCATGTCTATGTTCCTCTCGCTCTGGGGGTTTGTGTCCTACACGTATGGCGGATATATGGACATGAAGAACAAGTAAGAGCCCTAAAAGAGAGCATATTCTACTTTTAAATTTGAATATACTTTCAAACAAAAATACACAAGCACATAAAAATTAGCGTAGTGGAAGACACGATCATGCGTGGTTGCGATGCTTTGATAAATGCAAGAGTCGGGCCTTCATAGATTCCTACACGAATCATCAAAGTAAAAGATCAAGACAAGAAAAAGAAATCGTTTGTAACTTACTGGCGAGCATGTAAGATCCAGGCCGGGTCACAAGCGTAGTCACGTAAGTCCCCTCTTGATCTAGCTGCGCAGCCACAAGTTCCCACATTGTTGTCACGAGAATGGGCGATTCTCTGGTGTAAATAAGTTGGAGCTCATTCGTATAGTTTGGTGTTGCGTTTCCTGTCGAGATTGCCAATGGCACTGTGGGACTACTCCTGTTAATGAATGCATTCAAGTCGTGAGCCAGAAACTATAAGAAAGCTTACTCGTTCGTCTTTCTCAGCATGAGGAAAATTGCAAAAGGCTGCTCGTCGTATGATGTTGAAGCCAGGGATGAAACGTTGGAAACTGGGACGCAGAGCCTGGCTACAATTCCCATGTCCAAAGCATTTCCGCTAAGAGCAGCTGATGCGTAAGGACTAGAACTTAGTTCATAGTGACTTTTGCGAAGGCTCTTAGGAAATGCTATGATCGTCGCGCCGTCATATGTCGAAACTATGGTTCCACTTTGCGACAATGGAAACTTACATGTTCCTGAAAACAATGAGTCAGGAGAAAAGTATAGCAAAGCCAAAATTACCTGGAGTTCTACAAATGCGATAGCTCGAGTTCGTAGAGACATCTGAGGAAAAAGCGGAATGATAGAAAAAAGAATAGCTAATCAAGAAAATAGCTTGTGGAGGATTCGGATCTACATTTCCGGCGGCATCAATCGAGCGCGCGTGAAAGATGTAAAGCGAGGCCGGACATAAACTGTATGTTACCAGCTGCCTGCTACACTTCCTCCACGAATGTCTCTGGCCCTGCTACACAGACCTGAGTTCGCAACAAACTCAAAAACTGCATGATAAAATTTCACCTGTGGATCCAGTGACTGCAGCATACATTCATATCTTTCGATACCCCCGCCATCGTATCCAGAGAGTTCAAAACTGGGACTCAAGGTGTTGACAACGCTACTACGAATCAAAGTTTCCGGCGTGCCCGTATCTGAGAGAAAGAAAAGAAACAGTTACTATGAATCTATAATGCCTAGGATGCGCTTACCTATGTACCACTTGCAGCCACTCCACAAAGAAAACGAAGATAGGTACCTGACTTTGAAAGTGTGTGCTCCATCCACCAGAGGTCCGACGTGGTAGGGGCTTCCACAAGCCACGAATACTTGCTCATCAACTTCACACTCGGTCCAAGATAACGAGCTGTTGAAGGCCAATGTAGCTATCTGAAGGCGCGTGTAAGCCTCGGGGCACACCAGTCCATGAACTGCGCTCGAGTTCGACGTTAGAACCAGCTTTTGCTCTGCGTGATCCAATGCTATGTTGGAAGCTCTGTCCTCGGCTTTAACCATGAACGTATGCTCCACTCCAGGTGCTAAATAAGATTGCTCCACTCTCCATGGACTCGAGCACGGTATCCAAGTGCCACCCTGCACTTGAGAGTCGAGGCGACAGTAGGATGTAGCAACACCAGATGTAGATCCAAGAGGCCCATCATCCACCGAAAACTCCGCAGTTACTACGTCGAGATCTGGCTGAGAGAGCACAAATGAGACAACCGACGGAGGCGTCGTATCCACGAGAAACCTGTGCTTGATGACGAGTCCGGTGTTTCCAGCTAAATCTGTTGCCGTCACGCTGAACTGATAGACACCGTCCTCCAGATTCCGAAACCTTGCCGGGCTTGTGCACTGTTGCCAGCGTTCTTCTTCCGCGGTGTTTAGCTTCGTCATGCAGCAAGTCGTTGTTGACACCTCCGACGACGCAAACGCATAGCTGACATCTCTGGACGACGAAAACAGCGGCGGTACTGCGAAGAACAGCACTTCAGGAGGCAAGCTATCGATGGTGACCGTGCAAGTGGCTGGAACGCTGCTCAGAGCACCTCCGCTTTCATTTTCCGCTGCTCGTACGCTGACTATATAGATCCCGTCGGGCAGATTACTCAGTTCCAACGGAGACGAGCACGACCTCCACCCGTAAACGGCGGCCCCTTCAATATCTGACAGGTTTAAACGGCATGACCATCTTGGTTCCTGTATACCTGGGAGATTTGGCACGTCAAGCTCGAAGTAAACACGACAAGTTGAAACGTTGGTCAAGTCCTTGGGTAGTATAGTAACTATCTTTGCTCTTGGACGTTCCCTGTGAAGTAGCCAGTGGACAAATACTGGTTGTGGATCTTGGTTGCCTGCTTTGTCAACTGCTCTGACATGAAAGGTGTACCGTCCGTCTGACCGTGCCTCGACTTTGACCGGAGACCCACAAAGCGTCCATCCATGACTCGAGAGGATTCCAGACGTGAACTGGCACTCGAAGTGGTCTGTGTCAGCTGAATCAGATGAGAACTCAAACACTGCGGTCTCGCAGAAGACGGATGCTGACGACGATAGCAAAATTGTGCGAGGCGGTATGGTATCAATAGTAAAACTAGCGAAAGAAATCTCAGAGTAAGCAGTGTTCAAGAAGCTGCACAAAAAGCACGACTATTATCCCGCACCAACTAAACAAGTCCACGTACCTTTCATCCCTTGCTTGAACAGAAAAAGTATAAAATGCATCTGGAAGGCCTTCAGCGAAGTAGTCATTCCCACATATTTCCCAGTCATGGCCCTTGGGAGTTTCAATGGATGCATCAAGCCTACAAAACCACTTTATGTAGGGACCAGAAGTTCCTTCCACGGTGATGCGAACATTGGCGATATTCCCGAATAACGGAGGAACTTCAACTGGATTGATAACTGCAAACATTCTAGTTAATGGTCGAGAAGCGAACATTGTTGCATATGGTAGGCAGGTACCTAAGCATGGTGTTGCACTCAAAGACGCGGCGCTTGCAACAAATGCAAAACGTTGTCCCAATCCGTCTGGACCTTCTTCTGGTACATAATAACCATAAATCACTGCAACATAAAGTCCAGATTCTGGATCCGAAACAGACACCTACAACGTGAAGCGTCTTAAATCTTGCAAAGACATAAAATATTCCAACCTGTTCAACATTGTTCATTCTGTCAGGACGTGGACCACCGTTTCCATACCGCTTGGTATTACTTGGATCAATCACGAACAAGTCCAAATCATTGACAAGGATGACACTTGCAGCCGGCAAGGCAGGCGGATCGTACCTGCAAATTACATCTGAGACGAATATAAACTGTTCCTCCAAGTCACTATACCATGCCAGCGTGAATTTCAAGTCCTCGGAGCCAGGAAAGCATGAGAAGCAATACCGTTGTCCAAATCCAGTTTTTAACGGGTTGCCTTCCTCCGCTGTAACGTTTAGTTTGTTGTGACCAGGGAGAAACAACGAGTGAAGAAGATCAATTCTTCCATAGCCTTGATTGAAGGAGAGTGGAGGATCTATGATCACTCCATTACCTGCTTAAAACTTCAATATTAGCATACATCGTGTCTGAACAAACAAACCATTTAGTCCTCGCAGAGGCACAGCTCCATTAATAAGAATGGCTTTCACCAAGGCTCCCGAAGGTTGCCGAGAATGTGCGAGTACCTACAGTAACTGAGCTGTCAATTGAATTGCTGCAGCTTGACAGACAACCTTAGATCCTGTGGGGTAGAATCCATCCATAAAATATTGACGGATGAGCGCTGCTCCTCCTGCTGTAATTGGTGTCGCCATCGAAGTTCCTGATAAAACTGCAGTGGAATGTCAGCGAAGACTAAACACTAAGAACCACGACAACAACCTAAGGTCCTGCATGTGGCTTCTTTCGAGCCCATGTTGCTCCTGGCAGAGACAATCTTGTCACCTGCAAACAAGCGCGACGTCAGCTCAAGGAAAATAGTCTCGTTTGGAAAACCTGGCGCAACAGTTTCTGGTTTTTGACGTCCGTCCAGCGTTGGACCCCACGACGAAAAACTTGTCATGGAATCAATGCGTTCTCCATTAAAGGGAACGTGGCCCACCACTTCCACAAAGACTGAGTCACCGTGCGTGAGCATCGAGTCTAGATAATCCCCGAAAACTCTGGGAATTGAACCGCTTGGAATGGTTATACTCTCCAGTGACGATCTTAACGACAACGGAAAGTAGCCTGTGTTTTCGTTGTTGAAAAACACGGCTGCCACACTACCGGCGTCTTGTATGGCAACAAGCTGCAACGATAAGAAAACGTTGGCATGTACACTTAATCAAGGAAATTGTACCTTATCAATGCAGTCACAGCCTTCTCGACTTGCCAGCACCACCATTCCTGCTGCGTTGGGAGGTGAGATACATGCCTCTCCCGGTATTGCTCGTAGTAGCGGAAATGGACCCCAATTATCCTGAAACATTACTCCGAAAGAGTTCTCTAGCACCCCGACCCGCAAGTCACTGGTTCCGTTCAAAACGTAAAAACGTAAAAGAGCAAGGTTTTCATGACGTATGGAATGCCCTGGGCCCATACTCGCGCCTACAGTTAAACTATTTTTTGACATTGCTGGAGAAGTGATAGTTCCTGCAAAACTTCAGAAGGGCCTCGAATGAATGAAAGTAAAGAAAAAAGTCAGTCTTACCTACAGAGGAATAAGACGAGCCAGCATTGCCCGCAGCAAAAACAGGTAGGAAAGCCTGGAAAATGCAGAAACAAGGAAAAACGTGATGAATATGGGGAAAAAAGAGAATTTCAGAGATCTTACAGGATTGTTGTAGGTGAATGCATCCACACTTCGTGACATAAGGTTATAGGAACGATCCACAGTTGTCCAAGAATCACTATGAATTCTTGCACCCAGACTGTATGCCTCCCTGTGGGTATTCATCTGAGAAATAGCAGGTTAGTAGACATAAAACACCACACAAGCAGACATACCAGTAATAATCCGAAAGATCCATGGGTGGCGTGACATAAGTGTTCTTTCCAACGCCAATGTCCGTGAAGACAAGCTTCGCATGAGGCGCCATGCCGTTGTACTTGCTGGATTCGATAGTAAAGTCACTGAGTGTTTGATCGCACTGACCAAGAAGAGAACCAGCAACATGAGAACCATGACCATAGCTGTCGATCAAGTCTCCACCCCACATCACTCTGTAAGACACCACCTTCCTGTGGTTTGGACCTGGCGAAGAAACTTGCTCGTCCCGAAAGTAGCAGCTGTTTGACATGACCAGTGTAAAGATCTTTTAGAAATGTATACGTACCTCAGTAAGTCGACACCACTGTCACCAACACCAACAATTTGGCCGTCACCCATGATGCCCATGCCCCAGAGTGGTCTGCTCGGAAAAAATGGAGCTCCTCTCTCCAGAGGAGCCGAGACGCCACTCTGTTGGATTGCGGATGAAAACATATTGCCAAGTCGTCCCCTGAACGCTGGAGCGATCCAAGTTACCCATTCTTGCTTCGACAGCCATTCCACATACTCTCTGGCTTGATCCAGCGGTATTGCTGCTTGCAGTGCCGCAGGTTCTAGCTTTTTGAGCTCCACGACCTTACCATGCTCGTTTAAGCTGGAGTTCCAGTCTTGGATCAAAAGCTCCAGGATATCGACCTTAGCAGTGCATGGCTTACAAACAACTCCAGCAGCTGTTAGCACAGTAGCCACCACACGTCCCTGGCTATCAAAGAGGACGTCTTCTTCGAGTTTCTTCGCAAAAACTTCCTGCCACTCCGGAGCAACCTTGTATCGAGGCTTGTATTCCCCAATCCAGGAAACACCCTTGGTTCTCTTCACACGATCCACCTCCAAGTTTTTTGGAAGAAAAACGTTCCAGCTATGGTGTGGCAAGTAGTGGACGATAGCACAGCCGAGCTTCACTAGATCATCTCGGACTCCCGCATTGTCCCCTCGGCCGCTAAGCTTGACGATCACCTGTTTTGCAAGCTTCTCATACGCACAGCCCGACGAGCCAGTCTCGCCAAGATCGCGTGATGGAGCAAGCGCCGGCGATTTTCCAATGCGGATCTCCGAAATATTTGGCGCATTTCTGGTGTCGATCTTCATACGGCGCAGGCAGACGTGATAATGCTCGCAGCCGATCGCCACAGCCGCTAGGGCTAGCAGCAGCAATGCCCGATGCATCGAGACCGAGATTATCGTCTAGCCGTCTCCAAAGAATGATCACATCCGAGGAGCGCCTACCCGATTTTGCCGATGGAATCCATCAAAATGCGAGACGCTCGCGCGCATTCTTCCGCCAAGGAAATATTAGGGTTCTTCCGAGAACAGAATATACCAGATATTATGCTCAAGGGCAAATGGTAATGGCGAGCACGGCTGCCGTGGACGCGAGCTGGCTGTGGATTGGCAGCGAATGCGGGCGGAGGAGCGCCAGAAGGCGCGGGGAGGTTTTTCCATCCGCGATTCAGAGATGCCAGAGGAGGTTTGGATTGTGGAAGAATCACCGCCACGCAATTGTTTCCGGCCCTCCTCCTCCATCGAGAATCCCTATCGGCGGCGTGAGATTTTCTTCTACTCTCGCTGGAACCGGCAGTGTTCTCGGGAAGGTAAGATTGGCAAAAAATCTCTTCTTCCTCTCATCGATTTTTTTCCTTGCAGCCTCCAAAAACTGAGGAGGATACCTCGATCTTATCAGATTTTCTTTGCTTTCTCAATGCGTCGTGGACTCCTTTCCATGCTACGAGTAAGTTGCTATAGAGTGAGTAAGTTCTTCTCGACCGATAGATTCTTCCTTACAGCTCTTTCTTTCTTCTCTGATGGATTAGTGGAAGCTAAGAAATTGCTACTGGACGCTGGATTCTTGCAACTAAACGAAGAAGATGAGTGGTCCATTGAGCCTGGAGGTCGCTATTTCTTCACCAGGAACATGTCAACATTGGTGGCATTTGCCATAGGTCAGAAGTATGTCAATTGCAGTTCTTTTTTACGTAGATAGGCAAAGCTTTTACTTCTCACGCGATTGTTTTTTCCTTTTCTTTTCTTTCCTGCTTGCTACATACAGGTATCAGACAGGCAATGGATTTCATGTAGTTGCGGCACACACTGACAGCCCCTGTCCAAAGCTCAAGCCCGTTTCAGCGTTATCCAAGTCGGGTTTCTTAAACTTGGGGGTGCAAACTTACGGAGGTGGATTGTGGCACACCTGGTTCGACAGGGATTTGAGTGTTGCCGGGCGAGCTCTAGTGAAGGGCAAAGACGGAGCTCTTGATCACAGGCTCGTGCAAGTCAATGATCCAATTTTGCGGATTCCAACCTTGGCTATCCATTTAGACAAGTTTGTTTTTGCTATCATCTTTAGCTTGCTGATATCTTGTTTGGTGTAGAAATGTGAACACTGATGGTTTTAAGCCCAACTTGGAAACGCACCTGGCTCCTGTTCTTGCAACTAAAATCAAATCGGAGCTTGCACATTCAAACGATGGTAATGGTGCGATATATTCGAATGCTAGTGTCCATCATCCTATACTTTTGCAGGTTCTTTTCTACCCTTTTCTTTGTTCCAGAGAAAAGACAATCGTGAAAGTTTGTGTTGTTGTTCCCGCTCAGATTCTTGCCAAGGAGCTGCAGTGTGACATTGAGCAGATTGCGGATTTTGAACTGAATGTCTGTGACACTCAGCCCAGCTGCATCGGTGGTGCAAAGAAAGAGTTTATTTTTTCAGGAAGGCTTGATAATCTAGCGTCGTCATTTTGTGCTCTACGTGCTTTAAGAGACACTTGCAAAGACAAGACCAGTCTGGAAGACGAGAGCTCGGTACGAATGGTTGCTCTTTTTGACAATGAAGAGGTCTGTCAATAGCCCCTTTTCTTCTTCAATAGCTGATGTATCAACAAACTTTTACAGGTTGGTTCGGACTCTACTCAAGGAGCTGGATCGCCAATAATGTTTGAAGCGATGAAACGCATCGCGACATGGTTGTCCCGTACGAGTGACAGTGAGGGGATTGTGGAACGAACAATACGAAAGTCTTTCCTGGGTAATAAGCCTTGCAAATATTTTATATTCTTCTAGAATTGTGTGTTCTCTTTGCCAGTCTCTGCTGATATGGCCCATGCTCTCCACCCCAACTACTCCGAAAAGCACGAAGAAAACCATCAGCCAAAGCTCCATGAAGGCTTGGTGATCAAACACAACGCAAACCAACGATACGCTACAAACTCCGTCACTGCGTTTCTCTTCAAAGAAGTTGCTCGACTTGCTGGCATACAAACTCAGGTATGCTTGTGTATCAGCAAACGTTTTCGAAAACTCTCTTTTTTCTACTCCTTTTTAGAACTTTATTGTGCGCAATGACATGGGATGTGGCTCAACGATTGGTCCCATACTAGCGTCAGGCATCGGCATAAGGACAGTAGATTGTGGAATGCCTCAGCTCTCAATGCATAGGTATGGTATTTACCACTTAATTTCGCTTCTCGTTGGTGAAATATCCTTGCTTTCATTAGTATTCGCGAAATGTGTGGAACACAAGATATCGACACGGCATACAAACACTTCAAGGCGTTTTATAGAACATTTACCTCCATTGATCAACAGGTTTCCGTGGATAAGTAGGGTCTCCGGGTGTACAAAATTACGGCCATAGTAGCATTGATCTGAAAAGAATGATAGCAGCAAATTCACAGCCTTTTACTGCCTATGAATGCCATTGACGAGGAGGTCCATGTACTCCATGTAGCAATACGAAGGGTGCTTGGGAGGCGGCAAGCTGACCAACACCAGGGCCGCCATTCTCGAGTATCTCATGATGATCGAGTTGAGCTTCACCTCAGCTTGCATGCATACAAGAACTTCTTCATGTCAGCCTTGAGCCCCTGTCCTCCAAGAGCATGAGATATCCCGAGATCTGGAGGGACTAGCAACATGGCCGTGTGTCCGATGTTTTCATTAGCAACTGCTCCATCACAAACAAGGCCGTGGTAATTGTCAAAGGGGCTGTGCAAAAAGCTTTGATCTTGCAGCTCTTGAAGCTGTCCATTGCTAAGAGAGAAAAAGCATGAGGCCACTGTCGCAAACGATCCAGTAGAGGTCGATGGTTCCATATTGCTTCTGGTACTCGCCAGGCCACTTGTCGGACAGTGTTTGCCAAGTTCCATATCATGCTTTATTTCTTTGGGGAAGGGAGTTAATAACAAAAATATTGCTTTATTTTTTTTGAAGGTCATACTTTATAACAAACACAAGTATAACTTATGCAAAACATTAGTATGTTGTTGTTAAAGGATGTAAAATTCCACTTTTAGTGAGTTTGCTTGTTGGTACAATTCAAGGGATTGCATCTCTAGAACTTGCAACAAGAGTAAAAATCATTTTATATATATATATATATATATATATATATATATATATAATTTTAGAAAGTATATTTTTTCCTATAATGAATTAAGTGAAATAAACAAGTTGAAATGTATTGTAAAAATTATAATTTTTTTATATTGCTAAATACGACATTTGTGCAAACTAAGCGTTATTTGAGTTGGTGGAATATATGTCATTCTAGGCTCCCTGAAATTTATAGTATTGTATTTAACTTTTCCCTTAAACCTTATGTTGTTTGGCATTGTCATTATTAATTATTATAGCCTAGAGCAATTTTCTAAAAGATTAACATCTTTTCTCTAAAACACAAGCACAACAACTAATGAGATATAAATGCAGGCCATAGGTAGTTCTTCCACAGACGTCAAATGTAAAACCTCCAATTATAGCAGTAGCATATGCACACAACTACACTTGATTATGCATTGATTGCATCCCAAAAACATAATTCTAGATAGTCTTGTGAAGTGATAATGCAATTAACAACCTTTTCTACATAATATTTCAAATATATTTAGTAAGAAAATGTACGATTCAAAATGTGATATGCATTAAAAGATTGCAAGATTTATTGCATGCTCAAGGCCATAAAAATGCATGCATGAAATGGTATGCAAATCATTTTGGAATAGCAAGGATGAATCAACTCCCTAAATTCAATGTAAGGAAAGAGCATAATAAACCAGAAGAACAACCAAGAAAATAAAAGGCAAAAAAGCCTTTACCATGATATTTTCATGTTTAAATAAATCACCTTTACCACTTGTCTTTGAAGAAAACCACCAAATATATATTGCTTGGGCGAATTGTGGTGTAAAGGTGAATTGTGGATTCAATTCATGATTCATTTTAACTAGGTGAGCTAGGATCAATAGTTTCCTCAACTTGCTTTTCATTTGATTGTGATAGGAGAAGAACATGTCAATTCTAACACACTAACATTGCCACTCATTCACATCCAAACAAAAAAAGACAGAAAGAACTCATCCCAAGATCAACCCAAGCCCTAAAAATACCCACCACTAATAAGTATCCTCAATTGACCAAGATTGAAACAAATAAAAATGAGGTAAAAACAAGGAGGAAATAAGTTTATAAGTAATTGTGATTGCTTTGCACTTACCAATTCCAACAGCAGCTCAATTAAGATGTCCTCTTGTATCATTCTAATTGCAATTGCCTTAGTTTGTCACAAGTTCAGTGAAGATGTAAATGCTGTAGGCATTTGGAGAGACACTTAAATTCTTTCTATAAATCTAAAATTCTCAAATTCAATTAATTGTACTAAGAATTACATTTTAGATCTTAGACACTTATAAGTGTTTTGAGTCACAAAAACTAGTTGCAACAATACTAGATCTCAATTTTGCCTTGGTGGGTTATCTATTAGGATTAGAAATACATATATAAAGTTGAATTTAATTTCGAATATACAGATATATATATATATATATATATATATATATATATATATATATATATATATATATATATATATATATATATATATATATATATATATATATATATATATATATATATATATATATATATATATATATTATCAAGGTAGTTAAACATGTATTAGACTGTCACTTCCCAAGAGTGTCTCTCCAATATTGCATCTTTGTTGCATCTTTTGCATATGAATTTTAAAGTATTGTCTTATGAGAAGAAACTACACATGTTATCATGTTGCAGCAAAAAAAAGATAGTTAGGGTTCTTCTCTGATTGTGAGATGAGAAATTACATGTCACTAATGTCACAAACACATGTCCTAACAAGGAGGCAAAGGTTTATGTATGCATTCATTATGATGATTTGGAGCAAATTTTCCTCTAACCCAAAACTTCACACTTCATTTCCCTCTTAATTTCTGTAGCTTTTCTTACCTCCTCCTTTGTTTTGTCTTATTTCTACAATTTACAACAGTTACCAACTCTTGGCATCATACTTCTTCAACTTGGTCATGGATTCTCACCATGTCAAAACCTCTAGTGATCCATTGTAGTTGTTTATTGTAGCTACGAGCATCTAGAGAGAGAGAGAGAGAGAGAGAGAGAGAGAGAGAGATAGAATATTTTGATTCTCAAAATATTCTGAATGGAAGGAGGATTGAAATACCACACCTCAACAATGTGTGTAGTAACATCAACAAGACCAATAGTTACATACAAATGCCTAAAATAATGAATATCACAAATATGTATAATAGATATCACTTTCATTGGATCAAGAAAGAGTTAAAAACCTCTAATAATATTTTCATTTACCTTTTTTAACATGGTAGTCCAATGTGGTGTTTGTCTTCCCTTCTTGCACCATGTGTTTCACATATGGCATCATGATGTGGTAGGGCCCTATAGGAACCCATCTAAATGCATACACATACATATCACTCTTATAGCAATTTGAGTATGTTTGCAAACAAAGTTAAAAGCAACAATAAAAAATCACATGGACTCTTCTTCTAGGTTTGGGCTTGAGGCTCACCATCACTTTTCCGTTGCTATATGCATTTGAATATTGATTGTTTTAAGCCCAACTTAAAAACCTTTATAGATATGTTATTACTTTTTAATCTATTGATAATTAAAAAAAATTATTGAACAATGTTCATTATCACATACTTTTATAAATTCTATTCTACTCTTTTTTTTGTTCCTAAAGTAAAGAAATTTGTGAAAATTTACATGTTTCCTACTTAAATTCTTGCCTCTTTAACTTTTGCCAAAGTGCTACAGTTCAAAGTGTGCTTCATTTTATTTAAATCAATTAAATTATAAATTGATCAAATCATATTAGTTGATCAATTCATGATTTAATTGATCAACTCAAAAGATGATTGACCAATTAAGTTTATTGAAAAAATCGTGATTGTTTCGTCAATTCAAAAGTAAATTGATCAATTGATTGATACTTAATAATTGTCATGGTAATTATTATATATTAAATTTAAAATTATAAAAAATTCAATCAACTGAATTAGCTTTAAGTATAATCATTTAAAGTTTTTTAATTTTTTTAGACTTAAGGCAGAGCTTACAAATTTCAACTACTACTTTGCCCCATTTGAGATTGTTAGCCTAGAAGTGGGGCAAGGCAATGCCTTAGAGGCAATTGTGTTATCATATATATTGCTACAAGTGATAGGGTTAGGGTTGACCACCCTGTGAAATAGCCTATAAATACTCACCATTTTAGTAAAGAGGTGTGTGTGATGTGAAATACTTTTAATTGTTGTCAATGATGCCCCATTAGTGCCATTCAACTTAGCTGTAACCAAGGCAAATGTGCCCACATTTCAATGCACTAGCACTAGAAATGGTGGTGCTAAGGCTAGCCATCTAAGCAAATGAAAAGTATAATATACATAATTTTATAAAACCCATAAAGATTGCTACTCCAAAATTTTAAAATAAAATAATTATTAATGTTTAGTTATTTTTACCTTAGATTTCATTATTTTGAAATTAAATATCAACTAGCAACTTAAACTCCTCAATAACTTATGAAGTGAATCAATCAACTCATGAATTGATCAATAAACTAATGAAGTGATTAATCAACTTATTAATTGATAAATTTATAATTCAATTAGATCAAATAAATTGTCAATAATGAAGCACACTTTGTCCACTAGTGTGACATTAAAACAATTGTGGATTTGGAATTGAGCATCTACAACATAAAGCCTAGTTGCATTGGTGGTGTGAAGAAAGAGTTTATTTTTTCAAGAAGGCTTAATAATTTAACTATCCTTTTCTATAGATATCCTTTGCTTGGAGCTAAATTATCAAATAAATGTTAATAATTTAGTTGTGGATTATTAAATAACATAATCATGCTTTAGTTTCTAAGGAAGGTAGACAAAAATATAAGTAATGTAGTTATACTTTATTTCTTTTAAGATTAAATAAAAAATAGCACAATATAGATTATAATCACATATTATGGATGTTGGTTATTATGGATCAGGATAATAATATGTAAGACATGAGCAAGATGTGATGAAAGGATGTGAAATTTCATCTTTAAAGAGCTTTCTTGTTGGTACAATTTCTAGGTTTGGACATCTAGAACTTGTAATTAGAGTAACAGTCATTCAAAAAAAAAATATATTATACTATTAGAAAATATCATTATTAGTGGAATGAATTAAGTGAAACAAAAATTGAACTATAGAGATTATAAGATTTTCACATTGCTAAATACTGGTCACAAAAGCTCATTTTTTTTAATATAAATTAATAGAAAATTTAAAGTAGTTGATAATTTTACAAATTTGGTAGCTTTAGCATTTCAATAAAATTTTAACACTTAGGGGGTTAAATAGGGTATGTAGAAGGCTATGGAACATTTATATATGCCAATGTATGCTTGTTTGGTTTTTGATACCATTACTAAAAAATAGACAAAA